ATGCCTGTCGCGACAATATCTGAGGGTTTCCATGTCATGGAAGCCGACACCACCCCCCCCAACACCACCCCCCCCCCCCCAAATAAGGATAGCTGCTTCCCATGATGTCATGACGATGCATGTTCAAAATAACATGCAAATAAGCTTGTCAGGCTCTGGAGTCAGGGATCGGACATGCGTGGCCGTGCTCGCTGCGGCTCAGGTCAGAACCGACATGCGGATGGGTTTCCGTTGAAAAACTGCACCCTTAAAGACGTGTGGTGGGTCAACAACCTAACGGGGTTTATGTTCCCGAATACCGTAGCGACTAGCGTGCAAGAACCACGTCACCCAAAAAAAAGTAGGCCACCCTAGACTCTACACACCCTGTCCAAGCGTGCCTCAATGGCAGCCGTTGCACATGAGCCGCATGAGGCTGAGACAGAGCAAGTGCTGATTGATCCTGGGACTTTTCATCCCCGCCTGACGAAAACAAGCAAGGGGCACGACATTGTCATATTTGTTAGTCGAACGTCTGCAGCACAGAGTTTTTGGCAGGCAGGACCGGTTGCGCTGTGGTTTCTCCGGACCAAGTCGAAAGACAAGGCGAACCAAAGGCGACTGAACAGCATGGATGTGGTGCAGGAGATGCACCGCCGCATGTGGCCTGGCGAAGTGATCGCCACCGCAGGCGTGAAGAGAGCGCGGCAGAACCTCCCTGCCCGTGAGACAGATATCGGCGTGTATTTTGCCACTGGGACCCTGTCTACTTCGATGATGATAGCCTACTTGACATTTTGTTGCTCCTCACCCCAGCGGAACCCAAAGGATCGAGCTTATGCTTGTGCGGTCGTGGCAGAGCTGCTGCGGAAGGTAGCAGACGTCGGAGAGCAGTTTAGCTTTTGGTTTCAGCGGCACGGAGATGAGACTTGGCAGTGGGTTGTCACAAACTTTGAGAATGCCGAGACTGTGTTGGACGGGTCCTTGATTTGGACGGATGATTTTTACAGGGATCGCATTCGTTTCGTTTGGGGTCCAGACTTCAGAAGTGACAAAAAACCGTGGGTTGCGCAGCGCAGCGGCAAGCAGCGGGGGTTGTTTCTGCGATCCTACTTGTGCTTTGCCTTGGATGCTGACCACAAGCCTGAGATGCGAGACGATCTCAGCGGGTGCGCGTACTGCGTGATGACGCAGCTTGCAGCCCATGTTGAGTCATGTCTCGCTCGCATGACGAGTTCCGTGGAGGATTTCCCTGCCAATTGGGGGCAGGTGACAAACGTCAAGAAGATGAGCGAGTCTGTGTCTTGGGCTCTGAAGGCATCGGTTTCAAAGGCTTTGCTTTCGCGGGCTGATGTAACGGATGAAAGTGATGATGACGCTGGCGGCTTGGCTGCCGGTTCCGTCGTGGATGACCAGGGCGACCGTGTTCCCAAGGCTTCCGAATTTAGGTGGAGGGCCGAAATCATTGGATGTATGCTCTCCGCTGCTCGCCGCCAGGCATGGAATCTGAGAACCTTGGTCGACAACACACTTGCCTCAGCAGGCTGCAAAAGAAGTAACTACTTGCAGCAGCTTGACAGTCAGTGCCTTGGCACCAGGTGTGGTGATGAGGAAAGAAGTCAAAATTCTTTCGTTTGCTTGGGCATCGAATGTCTGGGCCCCAGCTCAAGGTTTGGCAGCACCATTTATCGGAGTGTCTTTCTGACCGAGTTCGTGAACTTCTGCGCGGCCTTTCGGATGCTTTCAGGGGCTCGGGTCCTGCACGCCCCGCGCTGAGAGACCTGACTTGTAACGTCACGTGTCCCGAATCTGGCGGTGCAATATCAGGTCTACATGGACGCCAGCAGCATCGCAAAGCGCCCCACAGAGTTGATCTACATTTGGGCCCCGCAAGCTGGTCTGGGTGCATTTGCACCCCCTCTGGTGGGGGCCTTGGAGCTGGGTGACTGCAGTCAGTTTTGAGTCAAGTGCGGGTGCATCCGTGTCTGCCCGTCTCGCACATATGTGAAACTTCCAAAGGCTGTCGCGGCCCAAAGGTAGTGCAGCACACCTTTGGCGGGCCGGATAGCTTGTGAATGATGCCTCCGCTTTCAGAGGCAGACTGCATGACGCTGGAGAGCCAGTTAGACTCGGAGGCGCTGCTAATTCCGATGACACAGTCGTCTTCGTCGAGCAGTGCTTTCGAGGAGCTTTTGTGTGATGACTGTCGTGCCTTATTTTTTGAATGGCCTGGTCTATGATTGCTTAAAGTGTCAAGCCTGTCTCAGGACCTTGCACGAGACAAGCACCCTTGGCAAGTCCGGCCGTGTCTTGCAGATAGCTTGGGCCCTTCTGCAAAAGATTCTGGGTGTTGAGAGGCTGCAGGAGCCGGGGACGGAATATGATGTCGCAGGGACCAGGGACTGACACGACTGATATGGATGATGTTCTGCTTGCGCAGGAGTCTTTCCTGGCTACGGCGCGGCGGGCCTCTACTTCCTGCACTGGCGTTTGCACGGCAGAAATGGCGCTGGCCGTGATCGAGAAGACGGTGAATAATGACGAGGTGCTACAGTGGCCGATGTACCTGGCTCCCACCGCCTGCTTTGTACATTGCCTGGAATGGAGTTGAGATTTCTGACGTTGTAAAACTTGTGAACTGAATCATTCCGTTAGCTGTAAGTTACGGTATCAGCTACTCGCGCAACAATCCTAGGAGATTCGTGCTGACTGCCGCCAGTCCATCTGCGACAATCTGGCTTGGTGTCAGGAGGTGCACCCGACCAGCAGCCGCCCAGCCCCGCATGTTTTCGGCGACTTGTGCGCGGTGCTACCGGAAGGCTTGCTGGAGGATGGCACTTTCATGCAGAAGGTGGCTCGTGCAAACCGGTGCTCGCTGAGGCAGCATGCATGGTGCTACACGCACAACGGCCTCTGCCCGCTTTTCGGGTCGTCCGTTGCCGCGGACATCGAGGTTGCCGGCTTGCCGTGCATCGACTTCAGTAAGGCTGGCAAACGGTTGGGTCCGGAGGGGCCCCACGCCAAGGTTTTCGTGGCCCACGCCAAGCGGCATGTGGAATTGGCGACACCAGTTATCGTGATCGAGAATGTTTGGGACCGGGCTACAAAAACGAGACATGCGCGGTTTCAGTTTGTTCCGAAGCAGTAAACCTTCCATATTAAATGATTAGTAGCCCACTGAAGAAACCCTAAACCCCTAAACCTCTAAACCCTCGCTCACTTACCGTCACCGGTTCGACTAGACGAAGGGCGGAGGGACGGGGGGGGGGGTTGCAGATGATACGACGGAGGAGCTGTCGATTCCCATGATCGAGAAGCTTTATGGCAACCACTATGACATCCACCCGCTGTACTGCAAGACCGACGACACTGGCCATTCGGCGGCGAGCCGTGACCGAGTCTATGTGGTTCTGGTGCACCAGCAGCGAGCTGTCATGACGCTAGACATAAAGTCGCTGTACGACCGCGTGGCTGGAAAGATCCGGAATCTGGTGCGGACCGAAGTCTCAGACTACCTTGTTGCCGGTAGATGGGAGATTTTGCGTGAGGCACAAGATCTCGCACGTTCCAGAAAGATGTGTTGGCCCCGTCCTGGCCAGGCCACGTGGCAGGGATTGCTTAGTATTTGTTTGTTTGTTTTTTGGTGCATGTCTGTCGGTCACACTTCAGTAACTGTTTCAGTCCGAGGGCTTCGCTGGCAGAGGACGCAGAATGCTGGATTTGCTCACTGAGCGTGAGCGCAAAGCAGTTTCTTGGGCAAGCCAGCACTACCAGAAAAAATTTGGTCGCCCGGCAGCCCGGGATAAGCACCTGGTGTTGCAGCTGCGAGATTCGCCGCCTAAGTATCTGTGCTGGTCTGCGGTTTCCAGAAAGCTCCCAACAATGCGACTTGGCTCCCATTTGTGTTGGCACTTTCGGACAAGCCGACTCATGACAGCCAGGGAGCATCTGTGCTCCCTCGGATTTCCAGTCACAGCTGAGACAGCTCTCAGTATGGGAGTGCCAATGCTGCCTGTGAAAGACAGCAAGCGAGCCAACCATTTGGCGGGAAACGCCATGCACTTTTCGTCCGTAAGCCTTGTTCTCCTGCTCACACTGGCCTGCTGTCAGCATCGCTAGTGTGAAGCGAGCGGCGTCGAACAGACAGTAATTCGTGACATTCTGGAAAAAAACAATCCCATCCGTGCTGTTGCGCTTGATGGAGGAGACATGTCGCACTGCCTGTTTGTGGGAGCTGAGTGTCGTTGTGCATTTGCCGCAGCCGGTTTCCGTGTGCTGCGGAAGCACTCGAAAGTTAGGAGTGTTTCCGACCTGAGCAAAGATGGGTAAGCGCATTGCCCCTGAAGCGTCGGCAGCGCCTGTGAGGCGTGTGGCCGGCAAGACAACGGATGCGAAACGGTCCGTGGGCACGGCGTCCAGCGGCGGCGACTTCAAGCCGTCTCGCAGGCGACTTCTTCCGAGCGAAGATGAGGACGAGGACGCACAGTGACTCGGCCGCAATTTTTCTAGCAGTTCGTCCTCAGCTCCACCCTCATTGCTCAGGTTTCCTGGTGGCCGCGGACCTGGCCTCAATCCAACAACAACGACGGTGGCCAACAGAAACCCCAGGCCAAAGCCAAGCACAGGAACTGCCAGGGTGGACCGCAAGAACTCGATGCCCCCAGAGGAGCCGGAGATGGTCAGCGTAAGCCGCCGGGTCAAGGTGGACAAGTATGCAGCGCAGCGTGTTCTGAGTGACTTCGTGGCTGCTTGCTTCTGTTATAGGATGCTGTGGGTCTGACTGGTAAGGTAGTGAAGTGCCGTAGGGAAGCACAACCACCCCAAGTCAAGTTATTAACGTTGACTTTCCCCCCACAAACCCTGCATTGGACACTGCTCGGCGTTCCTGTGCGGCTTGTGTGCGTCCACCACATCTTGTTACACTATAGAAGAACCAAATAAATAAACCTCAGAACTTCAGAACAACCACCAACACGCACACAGGCACGTGTCCACATTTTTAGCGCCACCGTTTCAGCATCCGTAAAACCGTAGTCAATCAATTGTCCTTTGTTGTTCTGATGCACTGTGCTTTGTCTGTGTTCAAAGGACTGCCACATCGCTGATTGGCTATCAGAAGCGGAGCCGGATTATTTGCATCGGGGAGTCACGGCCCAGCTGTCACGACACAACCTGTTCCACCTGCTGATGTTTGTCAGTGGCTGGACACCGGATACCCCAAAGATTTCGAAACTTGGGCTTGGAACTAGTATGAATGTGCAGCTCGTAAGTAGGGTTGCTAGACTTTGTTGCGCCCGAATGCCAACCCTCAGGGAGAGCCCGGCTGAATGCACTCGTGCATGCAAAGGCGAGTATGTCAAACGAGGAAAGCCGATCAGTTGGACCGGATGGTCAGCGGACATGTGCATCCAATGGGTCAAGTGGCAGGTCAAGCATCAGGACGAGATCGGCCTGGACGACGAGAACATGGGCGCCTTCAGCTGGTGGCTGCCCAGCAAAGGCACGGATGGGCGGCCGGCAGAGTTGCCCGCCTATGTCCAGGCCAACACCGTGCCACCGGAGGACTGGGCTGGATGGAAGGACTGCGGCAAGAACGAGGATGCCGAATCCGAGGAAGGGGACTTGGCCCCTTGGCTCCTTGGCTACTACTTCGTGACAAGCGCCAAAGGCCCCATCCTCCTCGCGCACAGACAGACCGGACTCCGCCTGGAACTGCCTGATGTGGAGGATGTCGAGCTACTTGAGGACCCGGCAAAAGGGTCGATGTTGCAGGCCAAGGACTATGACCCCGAGCTTTGCTACAACGTGTTCCTGGAAGCGGGCAAGGCACTTGTCCGTTTGCTAAGTTGGTCCCGCAAAGCCCACCATCCTTGAATTCTGAGTTTCGAATAAAGTGACAATCCCGTGCAGGATGTCAAGCAGGCGATCCAGTCAGCGACAGCGACTGGATCAAAGAACCCGGCGCCAGCAGCTAAGCGAAGCTTCGGGGCGCTCGTCAAGGCTTCGTCAGATGTGCCGAAGAAGGAGCGACCGGAGGCTGTGTCGCCGCGACCGACACGGAAGGATGATAAGGATCCGAAGCTCACGGCAGGGTATCAGCCGCTGCCGGGCATGAAAGGTGTGGGTGCTTCGGCTGTGTTCAATGTCCTTGTCCGACACAAAGTTCCTAGTTTGTGACTTTTGGTTGCAGCGACGTTGCTAACTAAGGTCCGCGTGCTCTCCCCCCACCAAAGATCAATGCGAGTCCGAAGAAGAACACCACCACCTTGTCTGCTACCCCGAAGACAAAGAATCGGGCGCCGATCCAAGGCCCGGAGGACGTGACTTGGAGTGAGTGGGGCGGTTAGGTTTTTGCGCATGAGTTTTTCTTCCGTGGAGTTGTTATTGCGATGACCCGAATTTGCAGGATCCGCCGAGTGATGCTGAGTCCTTGTTCGCGGAGGACACCCCGACCCCGCCCCCCCATGATGATGAAGGTGGGTCGCTGCTCGACCCTTGCATCCACGTGGCAGCGGACTCGACCCAGTACCTCGTTGTGCCTGCGGAGAAGAAGATGCTGGCATTGCCAGCGGGCAAAGTGAACGATTGGGTGGTGGTCGACAAGGCCGACGACCAGGGCATCATCAACTTTTGGCTCGAGTCAGCCAGCGGAGCGGGCAAGTCCCGCGCAGTGAGCACCGTCATCAAGAGTCCTCGCGCCATTGATGCTCCGAGTGAGCTGCTCCTCCAGCTGACGCTTGGCTTCACGATCACGGCTGGAGTGGTAGGCTAGAATCTCTTGCCACGTGGGGTCATTCGTCGTTGTTGATCACTCACCCACCCAGGAGGTTGGAGCTGGCTGCCACAGCAGCTGACGCTGCGGGCCTGGATGTGGACGGTGGGGCTCCGACCGGATCCGCCGCCGCCAAAGCCGGCGGCTCGCCGACCGAGTTGCCAGTCGATCCTGCGGAGCTTGTAGATGTTCCGGTCCCCACGGATGAGCAGATGCACGAGCTCGAGGAGGAGCACGGGACTGAGGACTGAGCAGCCAGAGGACACGGAATCTTGAGTTTGGGCTCCACAATCGCAGGCTTTCGTTTTTGAGGCGTCTCCAGTGGCAGGGGTTTGAGCTTTGGCCGGTCCCGTGTCACGTGCGACGGTTATCGGGTTTTGGCGCTGTTCTGTTAAGTTGAGTTTGAGAACGGAATGGAATGAAAGGGGTCCATAGGATACTCTATTATTTTAGTACTATTCTAATTTAATTAAATAGTATTAAAATAATACTAAAATAGTATTAAAATAATACTAAAATAGTGATTTC